GTTCAACACTTTTTTGTTTTATTTTAAAGGTTTTTTTAGAGCATATGTTAGGAATATATTTAATGTACCTTTTAATTATTAAATTACCTAAAAAATAAAATTTATCTTGAATTTCAACAATTAATCAATTAAATTAATATATATAATATTGATGTTAAAATTAATATTCACTTTTCTTACTTTAGCTTTAGCTTTATTCCCCCGAATAATTCTTCTTCTTTTTTTCTTTTTTTTTATGAATTTTTTTAACTTTAACCTTTAATACACATATTAAGAAAATTATTAATGTATTTTTTTATGGTTTAAGTACCATTTTGGTCCCTCAACTTTGCATTTTGGCACCAAAATTAACCCTTAACTTTAAAAAGTATAAAATTTATCTTTAAACTTTCATTTTCGATACCAAAACAGTCATTCCATCAGTTAAATAATAGGTGGCATGTTAATTTGCTAACAAATCAATTCATTTTTTGCTTAACTAATGACATGAAAAAAAAATATATATAATTGACCATTTTTTTTTATGAGTTGATATTTTCATTTAATTTAAAAATAATAATTCTTTTTTTTTTCACCCACGTCAAATTTCTTCCTCCTCTTTCATTTTCTCTCTCCTTTACCTTTCCTTTTCTCTTACCTTTGCAAACCCAAGCTCGGGTTTTCTTAAACGGTCGAGAAGCAAGTGATGATCGTTGCCGCCGTCGACAACAACGAGCCAAACCTTCTGTTACTACTGCCGTCGGCCTTCTTCTTCTTCTTCTTCTTTCAAACCCAAATTTGCCCGAGAAGATGATAGGTCCCCAGCTGTGCCCGAGAAGATGATAGGCCCAAGAAGATGACCTGATGATAGGTCAGCAAGTCTAGATGTAGGCAGCAACAAGCGGAAGTACAAGGACTAGACCCCTTCGTCATCCGATGGAATGAGGCCCACCAGCTTCTCATCTCTAGATTTGGCGCCTCACTCTTACAATAGCATTCCACCGCCTTTCAATGGTATCGAGATGGCTAAGTAGCGTGCTCAGGAGATCGTGGCTTGCCTCACCGCTGCATCTGCTCTTGCTAACGCCAAGTGTCTTCGCGTCAAGAACTGTTCTGGCGGTTTTGATAACGAAAAAGGCTTTAGTTCTGCTCCATCTGGTATTGTCTTCTAGCTCTTGCTCATTCTCTACTTGTAAATGTTTTTATCTAACTTATAATTTCTTCTACTCTTCCTGTTTATGATATGTGTTTTTATTGATAGTGTCAATTGATTGACCGAATCTTATTAGTTTTTTTTTTTGCATTTGAAGCTTTAGTTAGTGTCTATCACAAACTATGCATTATTATTTTTTCCTGGATTAAGGAATTTTGTTTCTCAGCTACTAATTATAAATTCTGCTCGTTTCATTCGATTGTTCATTTATTGTATGAGTGAAGTGCTTTACTCTTGCTAGGTTGCTGTCTAAGATAGAGAAGAGGGGTGGGATGATAGGTTCAAAGATGATAGGTCCACAAATGTGCCTTGTTTAACATAATAGAATGATTTGTATTGTTTTTTTTTATTATTATTATCATCAATTTCATCATATTGTTAATTTATGTGATGAAACCCAAATCTGGGTTTGAGAAAGGAAGAAGAAAGAGAAAGGAAGAAGAAGGGAGAAGAAAGAGAGAGAGAATAAGAAGAAGATGAAGTTTGAGAGATAACTCAGGATTGGGTTTGCAGAGGTAAGTGAAAAGGAAAGGTAAAGGGGAGAGAAAATGAAAGAGGAAGAAGAAATCTGATGTGGGTGAAAAAAAAAAAGAAATTATTATTTTTAAATTAAATGAAAATGTCAACTCATAAAAAAGATGGCCAACTATACTTTTTTTTTCCATGTCATTAGTTAAGCAAAAAAAAAAAGAATTGATTTGCTGGTAAATTAACGTGCCATCTGTTATTTAACTGATGGAAAGATCGTTTTGATATTGAAAATGAAAGTTTAAAGATAAATTTTGTACTTTTAAAAATTAAGGGACAATTTTGGTGTTAAAGTGCAAAGTTGAGGACCAAAATGGTATTTAAATATTTTTTTATTAAATTATATAAAAAGAATAAATTTTAATTTTAATTTTAATAACTAATTCATTAAACTAAGATATATGATATTAAAATTAAAATTAATATTAATTTTTTTATTTTTTAATATGAATTAATAGTTTAAAAATAAATTAATTAAATCATTAACCTCTATAACAAACACACAGCTTAGAATAATTTTTTTTATTTTATTTACATTTTCGGGTGGCTTGTTTTACCTTGGCGGTTGAGAGAAAAAGCAGAGTTTTGGCCGTTGTGAAAAGCAGTGAAAGCAAGTAAAATCCGATTGTGACAAAAGCCCTCTGTTTCTGAGAATCGAATTCCCAAATTCCAATGAGAAAGTAAAACATCTCTCCCTCAGCCCCCAAACCCTCCAATAGGCTTATACCATTGACCTTCCACAGCTCCATCACAATCCATATAAGAAGTACCAGAAGTCAGAACTCAGTCTTCAATGAATGTGAATACTACGTTCGAGCTATAAAATTTATTAGGGGTAGGCGTGACCTTGAGTAGAATTTTCTGGTGTGAAATAAATGCAAGTAGTCCTGCAAGATGTGAGGGTTGGTGGGGTCTTTTTCTTAGCTTATTAGTTTAAATCAGGTTTTTAATTGCGAAATGTGCTGTGTTCCAATGATTCGTCCTCAAGTCTCAAGTTTTAAGGTTTAGGTGAGGCGGTGGTCCGAATTTTGAGTTTTATTATTGATGTGAACTTCACAAAAAAATGATATAATAGTCACACGTTTCATTTGAAGGGGTGGAATGTTCACCAATATGAGAATCCCAATTGCTAACAACTAATTCATATTAACTTTTTAATCATTATTTTTATCAAAAAAATAATAATAAAATCAGGTTTTTAATTAGAGTTGGTGAAAGTAATCAGAGTGGAGTAGAGCTATGATTTTGCTTTTCCTTTTGTTGGGGGCCAGCATGCTTTGGCCATTTTAATGAAGGGAAAACTTCAAACTCAAGCATTCTGCACTACTTTATTGTTATGTTGAGCGAAACACCCTTTTCCTTCTTTTTTTTTTTTTTGGGTAAATAAACACACTTTTCCTTTGCTTTTAAGATTGTCTTGTCCGTAGCAAGTACCACTTGTTTGGCAAGTACTGTATCAATTGCTGCTTTTTTTTTTTTTTGATAAAATAATGATTAGGAAGTTAATAGAATTAGTTATTAGCAACTGAGATTTTTCAGACTGGTGAACATTCCACCCCCTCATATGAGGCACACGACCATTAAGTCGCAACTTGATGAAATTCACAGTGATGACAGAATTTAAAACCTTGACATTCGCCTCACCCAAACCCTAAAGTTTGAAAACCAACCACTAGACCTCAGGGCCGGTTGGCGTATGCTATACTGCCGTAATTCGGGTCTGGTTATGCTTACAGAAATGTCAAGGTAGATTATATCTTGTTTTTAAAAACATTAATTTTTTTTAATTTAATTGTTAAGAAGAATTTATAATTAATAAAATAATTAATTATTATTTAATAAATTATAATTAATTTATAAATTAATATTTTTAAATATTATAATTAGTTAGCCTGATGGAAGGACGGATATACACTAATTTGGCAAAAAGAAAATGTTGAGGAATAGGATGGATCAAAATGGTCTCAT